CGGAGTGGTCTGTCTGGACCACCATTCATTTTACATGCATTTATATGGGATAAATTAGTTTTTGGTGTCTTATATATTAACGATTATAAGTAGTAAATATTTATAGTTTTGGTTTTTTCTTCTCCTTACCGTGTTTTGCCTGCATTGAGCTTGCCTCTAATAAACATATTTAAAAAAAATGCAATATAAAAAAATCGTTGCTTTTCGTTAATTTTTCTGTTTTATACCAATGAAAAACAATATTTATTTTTCTTCGGCGCCTTCGAAATGACTGTGAAATTCAAATGAAAACGAAATGAGGTGCGTCGCCTTAGAAATCAGCTGTAAAACTCAAAGTGAAAATATAATTTCAATTTAACTGCATATTTACGGCTACAAGTTTGCCAAAAAAAGTTTAGAACGCAGTACGGGTAGAAAAATTGTTGATAATGTGCGCATTACTCATCCGATTTTCAATGTTTGTGATAACCAATAAGTGTGATAGGTTTTCAAGGAACTCTCGTCGTGTAAATACTAAAATTCATGTTATAACATATAGCAAAGTATATATAAAAGGCAGGTTGAATAGAATATACCAGAAAAAAGATAGAAGACTGGTTTACATATATCAAAATTCATCATATTTCATACAAAATGTATCGGTGGTCTGGGCAGACCACTCCGACCGTTCTAAGTATAAAAAAGATAATATCCTTATAGTTATCCATCTGTACATTTTTTTGTTCTGATTTTTTTATTGATCGACAGCTAATGAAATTTTAGGAAAAGTCAAGAAATTTCAAGTCGATAGGATTACTAGAAGTATTTTTTTTTAAATTGAAGTCGAAAAGAGTCTGGCCAGACTACGCCGACCGACGAAGGGTTAAGCATGTAAACTATATAATGTTTAAAAGCATGTAACTTCAATGCCGTACACCAAACTTCTAAAGATTTTTTATATAGCAGAAACAATACAATATTAATAAAATACAAGAACAAAATCAATGAGTGTAATTTTATTTTTGGAAAATGGAAGTAAGTTTAATTTTTTTATGTTATAATAAAAATATTTTGAATTATTAAACATGCATTTTTCAAGAATTAAAGCATCAAATCAAAAAGTCTGCAATTCATAGTAATTTCTAGCTTAGTAGTAATAAAATAAATAATACGACTAAATTCCTTTTTTGAAATATTCTTTATAATAATTCAGCATGTTGCTTAAATTATTAAAACTATTTTTGATGGTATAAACATTAGTGATTTTTCTTATTTTTGTATTTCTATCTCTTTTATTGATTACTCAATATTGATTATTTATGTATAATAATGCAATTCAAATCACAGGGTTATTCCACTTATTTCATTTGTAGTTTATATAATATATAAAAGTAATAGATTATAATTTTAACATTACTTTAAATCGATAATAAATAAATGACAATGAAAAGGTTTCTGGAAATCGTTGAAGAAAACATGGCAAAGAAGACCATGTTTTATAAACATATTATTGTTCATAATTCAAAATCACTGAAGTTGATTAATTTAAAATAGAAACTAGTGGTGTGTATGGCATCGTGCCTTAAGACAAATTGCTGGAACTTCCCGTACCGTAACGAAATATTCGAAGAATATTAAATGTTTTCAAATAGATTATTATAAATAAATACTGTAACATTATCTAATATTTATAAGAATTATATAAACTGAATTACAAAGTAGAAATTATTTGTTTAAAGTATATTAGAACTTTAGTCAGAATTAAAATCTGAATTATTTTCGATATACAAAAAAAAAATTCTTGAAAAAAAAAATTGAAACTATTTTTTTTCCAAAAGCAATTATTTTGTTAAAACAAGCAAAAAGATCTTTGAATCATTCAAATCAGACGCTTAGTTCTCTCAAAAACTGCCATTTGTAGCACATTTAGCTGTATATCTTCGAAACGGCTGGATCTGCCTTTGCCAAAAGCTAATCAGCACATCTCCCTATCAATAGGAATCGAATGTTTCTTTTTGAACCATTCAAATCGGTTGATTTGTGCGCCCGAAAACGTGAACGAAAAAATGCGAACACACAAAACACACACTCATCCATTTTTTCTGAAGTATGCCAAAATGTTCAGAAACCTTCAAAACGTCGAAAAATGCAAAAATTTTCGGACGATTACAATACGTAATTACCTTACCCTACGGGAAGTTAATAATCTGAAATAATATGCGTGTATGTGATATCGTTATGATATACTTATATAAATTACTTAATGAAATTAGATTATAAAAATTATACAAACAATTAAATAATATAAATAAATATTATGTTTAAGTATTATGTAACCAAATGTTGTTCGAAGGCTTTATTTATCGTGTAAGTTGAATAATATCAAGTAATTAGCTTTCCGTAGAACCCGCATATTATATGTTGTCGGTGGGCAAAATCGATGAATAGTAAAAGCTTTTTTATATTTGAATAAATAGATTTTGATCAATGCGTAATGGCCGTTTCATTAGACCGTATACGACCAGCAATCAGTTCGACTATAATAGTCGTCAAATCATCAAATGTCACAAAGACATTCTACGAAACTGTAAATTAATCAGCTGAAGAATAATTACATTATGTTTATCAATATTGATTTGGTTTGAACATTATTGATTTTATCAAGTGCACTTATATTTATTTCATCAACTAAAATTGATTTAATTTAAAATAGTTTACCATTGATATTAGGTAATATCGAATGCATTTAAATTAAATAATGAAAAAAATATTTTATTTTTCATTCATTAGTAATTATTTTCTAATTAATTTTCGTTGAATATTGAGAGTTATTCTGATTTAAATGGTATTCAAATATTTACTTATTTTTAAGTAGAACTTTTTCTTAAATATAGTATTTTCCAGTGTCAAGTCATGTGTTCCCTGATTCTCTTTGACTTTGCTTTCCGAAAAAAAGTATTATAATGTGCTAGATGCTTTTCAAGTGGGATTGCAAACCTTTATCTCCGAAAGATTTAACGGTCGACGAGCGTCGAGAGTAAGAGGGCAGACCTGACGTATATTATGTACGTCTTGTTAGTTCTTCAGAGCAAATAAACAGTGCGATCCCAGAGGAAATCTTACATAGTATCTTACTCTTCTCTAATCCAAACAGACCTTTTAGAAAAATCCGAATGGTTTTTCCTTCATTGGATTTATTCATGAACAATACATTTAGTGAACGTTCTGACACGTATGTTAAGATCAGTACTAAAACTGTAATTTCGAGCTTATTTTATGACATATGAATTATTCAATGATTAGAGAAACACGTGGTTATTAGGTAGTTTTATGTGCTCGCAAGAATATTTTAATATAGATTTATTATTTTATTAACCTATCAATAACATGTAATCATAATTATAACTTATCTATATATGTAATGTGAGTAATACACTTTTTGAAGTTGCGAAATGTTGATATTGAACCCTCAATTGTGATATGCCTTTTATTGAAAATAATTATATAAGTTGTTCGAAATGAATTACGATAACGAATGAACTATTTGATTTTGAGGTTTCTAAAAGAAATTTAATAATATAATAGAATCATACCGTACTTATTATCAGCTGTACTTATCGACCGCACGCTCTTTTCATGAAATTAACTAGTTGTACATGGCATCGTGCCTTAAGAAAAATTTTCAAAAACTTCAAAATCTTTTGATAGCTTTGAAAAAATAGATATTTGAGAAATTTGAAATGTTTGAAAGAAATTTGATAATTTCGTAATTTGGTCAAAGCAATAGCACTGTGTAGCTGTTGTAGACACGAAATATCAAAGCGCGTAACCGCCGAGTTACGATCTAACGATTAAACATTATTAATCTTGGTACGGACCCCAAAGAAATGTCAACAAAATTTGTAACTATTATCAAGATTTTTATAATATATATGATAATTCGATGTGCATATCATGTGCATATGTCTGCATATGTCTAATGATCATTTTTGACCGCCAATTTTTCTTTTTTAAATTCCTATATAGTAAGTTATTGTAATCGTCCAAAAATCGAAATTAAAAGTTTTTGCATATCCTCACAGTTTAAGGTTTCTCAACATTTTGTCATACCTTAGAAAAATTCATGTGTCAGTAGGAATCGAATGTTTTTGGAATTATTCAAATCGGTTGATCCGTGCGCCCGAAAACGTGGACGAAAAATTGTACCCATATATACATATACACACATCCATTTTTTAAGGTATGCCAAAATGTTCAATAAAATTTAAAATATAAAAAATATATAAAAAAAATCATTTTTGATTTCTTTGCAATTGCTATAACTTACCCTAAGGCAAGTTATAAAAAAGTTTTATGAATCTGTAATTATATGTTGTATGTAGACTCTCAACATAAAATTATGAATCTTGATAATAAATGATTATTTAGTTAAAATGGTTCTGTCGATAATTTAAAAATTATTAATAATGAAAGTAAGGACATATTTGAAATTAAAAATACAAAAAAATAACACTAAAAAAGTCCTGTCAGAGATTTATGTAAGTTTTATTACATCAGAGTCAAGTTTCAGTTCCTGGCAATGATGAAATTATATCAGCGCGTGGCAAAACCAATATTATTGAAATAAGTAGTAAAAAGTAATTGAAAATCCCTCGACGATGATTCAAGTAATAAAAACATCGTAAATATCATTTTGCGTTATCTCGTAACGAATGGTGCTCTAATCTTTTGTTGAGATCGCATAAAGACCTTTGCAACGAAAAGAATTTTATGCGTTTGAAGATGCTTTATTGGGCCATTTATTAATTTAATTTTCAAATCAATGTACGTACACATTAACGCTGGTGATTTTGAATTTTTATGTCATATTCGCGATCATAATTTTTCTCGGCTATTTCTAAAAGCGATTAAATGAGCAAATGAAACATGTTTTTGATATTGTTGATATGTGAAGTTACTACGCTCTTCAAGAGCTAAATAAAATGTAGTAAAAAAATAATGTAGAATTTTCTCCATTACAGGTAGTACCCCCTCCGATACCACAACGACCGCCCGCAGTGCCAAAGCGAACGCTACCGTCCACCGCAAACGCTTCGCCGCAAACATCGAACGCGTCGTACTGTGTCAGCGCGCTGCTGTTAACGCGCAATCGGCGGACGCGACGGCATTGCCGGCCATTCCGCCGCATCCGAACCGCAATCGCAGGACCGACAGTCAGATGGGCGGTGTGCCGCCGCGCATTCCACCGCCGCCGCCTCCGCCGCCCCCTCAAAGAAAAGACCCAAACAATAACGGCAACAGCAACAGCACCAACAACAACAATTTGGAGCCATGAACAACCTTAACAACGTCACAAGTAACATGGTTGGAAACATGAACACTATAAATAATCTTAATAATGTGATCATATTAACAATCTTGCAAACATGAACAGCGGAAATGGCATGAACATCTCGAATGTAGGTACAAATGGTGCAAATGGAAAAACTATGCACAGGTAACTGATTTGTAAATTCATTTCTAAAATGTAATATTTTGCAATTTATATTAAATAATAGATTACTTAAATGATCGCGAAATTGTGAATTATCGAAAAAAGCAATATTGAAAGCGAAACGTAGGGTAGGGCGGGGGCACATAAGTCCAAATTGACTTATTATACTGCAACTGTAAATGAACTACTTCACAACATATAACACGTATCAAACGGAAAACTATCGAACGAAATTAAGTGAATTTCCTAGTTAATTCCTTAATATAGAAATGTGATTTTTTAGTATTTCTCTAAAATTTGTCATCTTTCTCTTTTTACCCCATTATATTTTTATATAATATGGGTGAAAAGAGGTGGCCATCGGCAAAACAGATGCAATTATTATTACAGCTTAATTAAATTTTAAAAGGATTTTACAATATGATAGCTGCATTATTCAACCAATGCAAAATATACATTTTACATGCATTGGTTGAATAATGCAGCTTTACTTGATACATTTTTACATAGATAATACTGTGTTTAACCTTGATACAGCCTTGTTTTGTCAGAAATATCAGCTGAGTTGGAATAACTATCTATTGTAAAATTGCTCTTTTATTTTTTTTAAATTTTATTTGCTATTTTTTGCCATTGTAAAGGTTCAATTGGTCCTTTTACCCTACCCATGTGTAACCTTTTGTAGAGGTATGTAACTGTTGAATTTAACTTGAAATTAGCTATACATCTCATAAAACAATTAAATAACGTATACTTAAGGTCTCGTAAACTAAACAACAGTGCTCACAACAAAAAACCTATCAACGATAGAAATTACTTTCGTTATGGATTTTCGAACGCTGCAGTTTACCTACTGATAGGAATGTCGTAAGAATCAAGGTGATGGCTGGTTATGCATCTTTTTCGCTCTACTATCAAATATTGTTTAAAAATTTAACTTCACTTGTTTTTAAAAAACAGGTGGTAGACCTTTTTATTCGCGGAGTTTTAAACTCCACTTCACACTGTAGTTGATTGCAATACTTTTAAATATATACACGAGCTCTTCTACAGGTCAAGATTTTACATTAGAAGATGTCAATTTTCAATATTAACTAACTAATAAAAGTAGTAAAGTAAATATATATAGTAATAAAATGTAGACTACGTTTTTCATAATTATTTCAATTTTTCTTTCCTTCAAAATGTAAAATGAAAACTTTGCATGTTTTTGTTTGATAAAAAAATGTAGTATCTCTTCATTCATTTTTTTTAATTACAATCTGTAACACTTAGGACATTCAGTAATTGTTTTGACTTTTTTCATTATTATATATGAATCTTGAATGGATGCCAACCCAGTAGTTGTCCAGTTCAGTTATGATGTTATGACTAATTATCTATACTCGAAGTATTTGCTGACATTTTTATTATATGTGCAACTATACCCACAAGAGGCGATTTTCACTTGAGGCTAATTTTGAGATCTATAACTTCAAGTCGAAATTTGACATCAAAGTTGCCCGATGTCGATCTATGGCGGTACCGGGAATCGAACCAGCGAGCCCGGGACTAGTTGGTTCTAACCACGTCCTAACCGATATCGTCACCGCTGGCCCATTTCTTCATTCATGTTATCAAATAATAGCAATTCACGTGCTCAATATAGCCTATTATTAAAGAAATCCTTGTCGTTTTATTCACTTTATGGTACATACCACACATAGAAAAAATATAAAACAACACTCTCGAATTCTTATCAATCTTCGTCAAGGATGATTACGTCTCAGAGAACGTAAGAACCAGGCAATCTTGTACCGCGTATAATATACCTTTGACGTTTATATTTCTTCCCGCGCGTTCGTGTTTCGATTTAAAACGTAAACAAACAACGTATGTAGTATTTATTTCTCAAACATCAAGACCATATATCACAGCACTCCTACGTACCGGTAAGATCTGCACTTTTAAAGCTAAATTCAACTCGATATGTTAAAGCATTCATAATAATATTCGGTAATAATACACATGTATTTTTAATTCATATATTGAAAAACAACAATAATATATTATAATTCGAGAAAAATAGTACAGTCAGTGTGAAACTGCATAGTTTCGTAAGTTTTTTTTTTAATTTGCATATATATTTACAACTGTCTAGTTTATAGACATTTAACAAATTGATCATTTACAATTGTCAGTTATAAAAAAAGACATTGTGTAAAATAAATACATGTTGGAAAGAACAACCAAGTAATTGACTTATAATTGCCTTATTTAATATTAACAGTAATTCAATTATAAAAATATAAAATCAAAATTTTATTATCAATATTAAACAACTAAGTTATGTGATGTACGCCAGGAATCAATGTTTATTAAATCAAGTGGCGATTTTCTTTTCAATTTGCGAAGGCTAAATTGTCAGTCCAAAAACACTTACAAGCCGTAATATGTTCACCAATGTTGTTAGCCGTAATATGTTCACCAACGGATTTAACACATTGCGGAATTCTGTGGCAATAATTTTTTGTATGCCCAAGTTGTTGACAACGTAAGCATTAATGTTTAATGCAAACTATTTCTTCAGTTGGATTTCAAGGTTTGATGACAACCTTACACAAATTATATATATCTTCGTCGTTTGTATGTTGTTCTAATTTTACAAAAATAGGTTTAGTGGATACTTTGTTGATCTACTCGCGATGTTCAAAACTCTTAACATTTTATGTCCATGGGTTTCTATATCTTGTTCAAGTTTGAGAATGATTTTGAAGCTGCGTTTATTCTTGTTTTGATACAAATGCATTGAGTACCTTTTGACTTAATAGTTTTACTATAGTATTGTACGTATGCGCATTTTTCGA